AATGCAGTTGAGGTACACTACTTACTCTTCGTATTCGATAATCTCACGAACAATCTGTTCCTGTGCCTGCTGAAAGGTCTTGCCTGTGTACTCTGCGCCATCGTTGTCATCGGGCGCTGCAGACGCCGACTGTCGTAGTTTTGATGGGGCTGGCGTGGCTGATGCTGCAATGGCAGCTGCTCGCCGAGGGCGTTCGACGGTGTCATGTGTAACGGGTGTCTGTGGGACTTTGGGCGTTGATACGACGCGGGGCGATGGTTTCGAGGGAGTGGAGTTGTCTTCGCCAGGAATGGGAGTAGCTACTGCAACATAGTTGCCGTCCCGGTATGCTGGATTGTGCTTCACCATCCAATTGGAGGCTGTCTTGCGTAGGCGCTCAGCATCTTCGTAGATGACTGATTTCTTGTCGTTGTAGGCCTTTGCGTTGTTGACGAGTCGTTTACAGTCGCTCTCGACTTGAGCCAGGCTGGAATATTCTCCATTGAGCAGTTTTTTCTGAGGCGCCTCGAGTCAGCAATCCCGCACGACATGTATGAATAGTAGCCAAGAATATGGAGTGGTGATGTTGAGTTCGAGTTGGTCGTGGAAGCGCACGGCATATGGGTGGAGATTGCACAGGAGCAAACAGCAAGTAAGCGTACCTCGATGGTGTCTATCGCAATGGGCAGTTTGGTATACTCGTAGTAGTCGGGCACTTCGTCCTAGACGCGGCTGTCAGTGTGGGCCCTGACGGCAATGGGACCAGAACATACCCTATCCGGGAGGGTAAGGAAGTGAACTGCTATGGGTCGTCCCCTGCAGGCTGTCAGTAAGAAATCGCGGGAATTGCTCGCCCGAGGGCGTGGAGGCTATGCCATGTGAGACTAGCGACAGAGGCCGAGCACGCACGTCTTGTCTTTTGCCTGCTTCAGGCTGTCAAGGAACTTCAAGCCCGCGGTCGTTGTCGAGGCTACCGTCTCCGAGTTGGCATTGGTGTCGGCCTGCACGCGAGCGGGTCGCTGTCAGTAAAGGTTCGTAGGCTATTCGACCATGGTTCTCCCTGGAGTCCTCGATGCATCGCCGGCGCGCGCGTGGTGTTGGGGGCAGCGAGGAGGGGCCGAGGGAGGTGGTGGTGGCTACTCGTCGAGCCCCCCAGGTGTCGCGCGCTCTTGTCCAAAGCCCATCCCGCATCGCGACCAACACGCCTTGTGCATCTCCAGAACACACCCCGACGATGCATCAACCCTCGCCCATGAACTGCACGTACCGGCCCTTTTTGTCGCTTCGCAGGGCGATTGTCGTGGTCGCTCGCAGCGGCGTTGGCGGCTTTCCGTTTGGCCGCGCTTTCCATTGCCGGTACTTTTGCGATCGCGTAGTCTATCCGAGCGAGGCCCACAAGGTCTCGAGGCGAGTAACGAGTGTGGCGGCGGTGCAGTGAGTTGCGCGTTCAGTCGTCAACCCGGTGGACGCGCCGCAGTGCTCAATCTAGGGTTCTCCCGGCTCTGCCAAGACTACGTGCACGAGCCAGGCAGCGAGTGCATCACAGACGCAACACTGTCGTTGTTGGACACACATCAACCAACAATAGCAACACCAACAAAAACATTCACAACACACATTGTCCCCCCATTTTGGAACTACAAACACTAATATCACCATTCAAGAGCTGCTAGGTGCGGTGTCCTGGCTGCTATCTCTCAGGGGTATACATGGAACAATGAGACCCTCCGCTAATACCGCAGCAAACCCATCATGTATGTTTGTGACAACACCTCAGCAACAAGGAAAAAGGCTGCCCAGCAAGCCACTTTACTTGTTTGCTGCCTCTCCTGCTGTTGCGTTCTTCTCAAACTCTACCCGCGCCTCTTGCTCCTTCATCTCGCGCACCTTGGCAAGCACAACTTCTCGGAAGATGGCTCCCTTTGCGATTCTGCTCAGACGTCCAGGGCCCTTGCCTGTGCCCGACATCTCCTTGTTCTCCAGGCCCTTGCTATCTGAACGCCCGGCAATGGCCTCACCTGCAGCTTCGCGCGCGTTGGCAGGCACGTCGGCCTCGCCAGGCACGTCTTCCTCCTCGTCCTCCTGCATCTTGAGCGCTTCAATGCGATTTGCAAGCTTGACCAATTCGATACCGCGCCTGAGGCGAGCCTTTGCCGCGTATGCCTTGATCTCTGGCACCAAGTTGTGATCCGTGGCAGTTTTTCCACTGAGCCATACGTGCTGGAGGGCAGCCTAAAGATTGTTAGCCGTCAATCGATACTCGAGGAAATCTTGCTCACCTCGCTCGTCGGTCGCTTGGCTGGGTCGGGCTCTAGTAGATTCTTGATAAACTCCTTGGCCTCCGGGCTGACTTCCTTCCAGTAGCGCTCATGGAAAATAACGCGGCCATTCTTGCATTCCTCAATCAAATCCGCAAGATTCTCCGATCGGAACGGTGAGTATCCGCAGAGCAGTGTGTATGTGATGACTCCCATAGACCACATGTCGACAGGCTTTCCGTGGCCCTTCTTGAGCATCACCTCGGGAGCAGCGTATCCGAATGAGCCAGCCATGGTAGTTAGGACTTCGGTCTTGGAGTCGAGCATCTTGGCGATACCGAAATCAGCAAGTACGAGGGATGAGTTTTCGTCGCGTGTGAGATAGAGGAGGTTCTCTGGCTTGAGATCTGTCTATCCTTAGTATTGCTGTGGTGAGCCAGCGGGTGCACGACAAACCTCTGTGTACAACATTGTTCTTGTGAAGATAGTTGACTGCATCGAGTACCTGTCGAATCGTCTCGGCGGCGTCCTTTTCTGTGAACTTTCCCTTTTCACAGATGCGGTCGAAGAGCTCTCCACCAGTTGCCAATTGGGTCACAATGTAGTATTTGTCCTGGGTGGAATGTTAGCTTGCTGGCCTGGCCTGCCCCACGTCCTCATTAGCATGCCTACCCTTGACTCGAACCAGTCGTGAAACTTGACAATGTGCGGGTGCTTCATGCGCTGCAGCATCTCCAGCTCGTCGTAGACCATCTGCTCGTTTCCGCGAACATTCTTCTTCAGGATGATCTTGACGGCGACCTTGCCCTCGGGACAGTCGGCCTCCCTGACAATACCGTACGTTCCGGCGCCCAGTGTCTTTCCGAAGCGGTATCGTGACCTGCAATTGGTAGGTTCAGTAAGGGTGCAAGCGGGCGCGGGGTATCAAGAAGCACCCACTTGCGGTCATAGCTGTCGGGCTGGCCGTGCAGCTTGTTGAGCATGTTGGTCACTGTGCACGTAGTCAGTTCAGACAAGCAGCTTGCAGCGCAATGCAGAGAATGGGCACATACTCATGATGGGCAAGCCGGTGTGCAGTTGTACGACTGCGGCGGACGTGTTTTGGGGCGGAAGGTGAAGATTGGGGGTGCCTATCGGGCGCGTCCAGCTGGCGGGGAGGGTGGGTGAGGGGTAGGTATCAACAGATACGTAGGAAGCAAGGCGTTCTGAACGAGGAAAAGAGCGGGCGGCAAAGGAAGAAAAGAAGTGGTGGAAAAGGAGGCACAGGCTGAGCTGGGTCAGCAACAACAAGTCCAGGGCCTGTCTGTTTCCGGACGAGCTGGAGTTGCACCTGGACCGACGGTGGGGGCAGGCGCAAGCGCACCTGAAAGTCGTGTCCGCCTCGTGGCCTGTGGCTGACTCTGTGAGGCGCAGCACCGCCTAGCTGCCTAACCTAACCATGTCTATACGTTCGTACCAATACTCGCGGTGTCTATGTATATCCCGCTGCCGCTGCTTCCTGATTGCCATGTAGTGTATGCAAGGCTGCATTGGCACTGCTGACGGCCCTGCTGTGCACAATTGAGGACAGCAGCCCGTTTGGCGAATCTCTGCTGTCAGCCGCCATCGCTCTCCACTGTGGGCGGCTCCTCCTGTCATCTCTAGCACCCAAAGCATGGGCCTTACCGAATCCACTCGAGGCACATCTGGCGCACCTTCATGGATCTGTGTCGCCAGTAACAGCAAAAGAGGGCAATACATCATAGGGAAAGAACGAGACGTCAGTCTAGAGCAGGGAGGAACCACCAAACGGCCGGATCTAAGGGCCGACCCTGGTCGTGCAGCGGGAGCAAGCCTGACAGGTTTGCATGTGCGATTCCTACGTCATGCCGTTTGGCCCATACATAAAATCAGGGTCTTGATCAACACAGACAGCCATCTCATTTCTTCAGCATTCTCCAACCTCTCTCCAGCAGCAGTAATTTGTCTATAATCCTCACCTCACAAACACACTCTCAACTCTCAACCATGGCTGTCAGCTTCCTCGCCGTCTTCGCAGGCCTCATCGCCTTGACCGCAACCTACCTGTATGTTTTCGGTATCTCGCCTGAGCTAAAGCGCAAGATGGAGCGCCAGGCACTCAAGACCATGGGCGAGAACAAGATGTCTTACATGACCAAGGGTAAGCCGTGACATGCTTTCACTTCTCTTTTGCTACTGCATGGGATACACTGACACCTTGCAGATGCCATCGACAAGGTTCCTGCCTCCGACCAAGAGAACATTAAGAGCCTCAAGAAGGGCCTCGGCAACATTGCCGGTGGCGCTACCCAAAACCCCCTTGGAGAGCAGACCGGTGAAGCTGCGGACACTCTCACGCGTCCCTTTACTGGTCGCTAATGTCCCTTCTTTGTACAGTTCACGCAGTCACCCAAGCCAGGGATTCGGCGTCGAACTCTACTAAGAACGTGTGGCTTGACTGGGACACCGTCCAGAGTTACCCTAAAGCTGCGCTTGACCGTGTCTCGGCAATGACAAACAAGGCTCAGGATACCGCTCAGTCTTATGTTCCAGAGAAGGCGGGGTAACGGCGTGATGATTTTTGGGCGGATGAGCGGCTGGTTATTCTTTGATGAGCGTTCTCGTTGTCCGGATATGATTCTGACGCATCTCTTTTCTTCTTCAGGTGGCTACAACCACCTCTCACGACCTCGATGACCCCTTTGTAATAACACTCAATATCTCATAAACCTCAACTATTCAATCAATGTCTCGATCTCACGTTCATCTTCTTATTGTTACCCCACCATTCCACACTAACCAAGCAACGCCCTCCCAGCACAGCACAATCCCCCAGAAAACAGCCTGAAATGCAACCTTCTTCGTCTTGTGCTGAAAATAATGCATTCCCGCCAGTGCACCCGGCCACCCCCCAACAAGCGCCAGCGTTTGCAATGTCGTTTCTTTGACCCTCCACTCCATGTTGCGTGCCTGCATCTTGTCATACCCATAAAACAAAAACGTAACTCCATTAACAATACAGGTGTATAGAACCGCATACAATGGAAACCGCGATAGAGTGTATAACCGCGCGAGCGTAGCAGCGGGGAGAAGCAGCGACGCCACACCAGCGAGCGTTGCTACTGTCCAAGGTCGATGCCGGGGCTTGGCTCGTGGTACCATCTTCGCGTATATATGTACGTGGATATTAAGTCGTAGTTCTAAGAGGGATATGGTATGGATGGATGGCTGAACATGAATGTTTTGAGCAGACGTTTGGGCGGGGGAAAAAGCAAGGCTACGATGGCGCTGTTTTCTAAGCGACAGGCGACTCGCATGCCCTGTCGATCTCCCGGTTTGGCGAGTTGCAGGGGCGCTTGGGCGGATGGGGGTTAGTATGGATGTGAGTAGTGGACTTTTGACTTGGAGGTATCGTGACTTTTTGCCTGACTATATGATGTACGGAAGATCCCTTTTTTTCTGTTCTTTCTTGGTATTATTTGGAATAGATGTTGTGTGAGTTTGCTGGTGTCGTAAGGAAAAGTATGTGGCATTGATGAATGTGTTTATCACGCCAGCGAGAAGCATCAATAGAAGTCGTCTATCGGGTCTTGTTCAAACTGCAAACATCTACATGCAACCACAATATTTTGATGTGTACGTGCCTCCCTATTGTCGGTTCCCTGCCTCACAATGAATCCTTTGTAAACACACACACACACACACATGCTTGCACCTTCCTCGGCCCGTCCCGCACCTTCCTGCATTTGCATTCCACCCAAGCCACACCTGTAATTTCACCTTCCGCCACTTGATTCCACTCTCATCAATCCGACACATCGGTCGTTGAATCCCAGTTTAGCCATATCAACATACACGATCCCGGTAAGACTACAACTCACACATGACGCTGGGCCTAGATCACCTCTACTCGCGTAAAAAACCGCATATACGTCCGTACGCTCATCTACTCACGCTGACGTGTAAGTAGACCCCGTACTAACAGCAAGTACCAGCCTCATCAAACATTAAGGCCCGACTATCTGGGTACGCCGAAGCAATCCTTTGAGGTATTATTCGGGCTACCTACTGACGCCCAAAGAATGGCATGGTTACGGAAAGATGAATGCACTCGGATACCGTATCCCCGGAACGACAGTAAAGCCGGCTGACAGCGCTACGAGCCGGAAGAAACAAAACAAAACATGCCGGCGGATAGCATTCGACAAACTGGCATATTACGACCTCATCCTCTGCACGGATGCTATGTTTAAATGATGCAACGACAGTTTGACACTAACATGCTCGCATTTACAACAAACGCAGGCAAGCCTAGGCACGATGGAGGGTCTTAAACATTATGAAGGGACCATCGAGCTCCTTGGTTTAATTTGCGAAGAAAACGCCACTTACTACTTTCTTACGGGCCGTAATAATCCCTGTGCGGAGATCAAATTTCCGAGTCACCCGAAGAAGAAAAGAAAAAGAAGCACCCGATCAGGACTATGACAATTCCAGCGTGTAGGGTCGTTGATTGGCAAGACAAACAAACAAAGAAAGAAAAAAAAGCTTGTTTGCAGAGGGATGGATAGTATCGGGATGAGATTTGTTCCGTTCTACTCCTAGGTATAAGAAATTAAACACTAAATCAGCTACACTTGCAAGCCCAACCACATACAACACCTCCTCATCCTGGGTCGACATTGCCAAGTCCGCATAGTGTGCAGACAAAAGCGGCAGGCAAGACTATTCAAACAAAGGGAAGAAATGATAAGACACATGATGGCGTGAAGAATACAGCGAGTAACAAGCTGCTAGATAAATGTTGTGGTGATGCGCTACGTGTAACAATACATATGGATATATTATCTTGCCCTCTTTACAAAGGTTTGCTTGACTTAAGCAAGGACATCAACACAGCCAAAGTGCTGCTCAACACCATAGGCACCAGCGGGCTTCCAGGTGTCGTCCTGGAAGGAGAAAACACTAGCCTTGCTACCGACAGCCTCCTGAATCTTCTGCATAGCAGTGCGCTGAGCGTCGTGGCTAGCGACGGCCATGCCGTTAGTCTGACCCTGCGAAGGCCATCCGATCTCGCCAATGTAGGCACCGCGGGCGGCAGCGCCGGGGCATACCTTGGAGGCCTGCTCAAGCTGCTGGGCGGCAAAGGAACCGGCCATCTCAGCAGTGACGGACTGGGTGAAGTAGGGCTGGACCTGGCAGACGAAGACGTCGATGTGGTCGCAGAGGGCAGCACCCTTGGTCTCCCAGACGTCGACGGGCTCGGTGGTGGTGACGGGGACGGTGGAGGGGAAACCGGCGCCACGGAGCTCGTCGCGGACGTGGTCGATGTAGGAGGCGAGTTGCTCGGGCTGGCAGTTACCGTTGAACATGCACTCGTTGCCGACGATGACCATGGCGATGCTGTCCTTGGGGGCCTTGTTCTTGATGTCCGAGAGCTGCTTGTTGGCGTATTCGGAGAAGCAGCCCTTGTCGCCGGCCTCGAGGAAGATACCGTAGATGATCTTGAGTCCGTGCTTCTGACACTCGGGGACAACGTTCTCGAAGACACCGCAGTCGGTGTTGTAGGCGCGGATGGTGGTGAAGCCGAGACCAGCAATCTTTGCGATGTCAGAGGCAACCTCAGCAGCTTCCTTGCACTGGCCGGATTGGGCGTAGGGAGTGTAGGTAATGGACCACTTGTCGCCGTTGGTTACAATGTTACCGTTGCCACCGGATGGCTTGGTGGGCTTGGGCTGCACACTGCTGCTAGAAGGAGTAGGCTTGGGCTTGTTGACATCTGGGACAGAGGGAGTCTGAGCAGGCTTGCTCTCCTTAGGAGGCTGGGGAACACCGGGGTAGGAGGGCTGGCTCTGCTGGGGGACAGCTGGGGTGCTGGGCTTGGGAGCCTCAGGCTGAGGGGGTTGAGGAGTACCTGGGTAGGCAGGAGGCTGGCTCTGCTGGGGGACACCAGGAGCAGGGCCGGTGGGCTTGGGAGTCTCCTCGGAGCAAGAGGTGGAAGCTGGGACCTCGGGCTTAGGGGGCTGGCCTCCCTGAGGGTATGTAGGAGGCTGGCTCTGCTG